TATGGTGTTGGAGGAGAATATTGGAAGTACCATGGACTAACAGAAGAATAAACCAATCTGTGTTGGACAAAGTGCAATAGAAATTCTTCTTGGAAATCAGCATGGTCGGACTTCGCCTCTCATACTTTAGATATATTATCAGAAGGAACCAATTCCTGGAGAAGGACATCATGCTTGGTAAAGTGAAGGGCCAGAGAAAAAGAGGAAGACCCCCAATGTGATGGATTAGTACAGTGGCAGCAGCAATGGTTTCAGACTTAGCAATAATTGTGAAGTTGGCAGGGGACCGGGCAATGTTTCGTTCTGTTGTGGGTAGGATTGTTATGAGTTGGTATCGACTCGATGACACCTAACAACAACTACCGACCAGAGAGACTCCAAACACTATGGCCAGGCAGCCAAACATTGCAACTTCCCAGAAGTTAAGAATTTGGGATTATTGTTTGCAATGATTGCGCCCTCCCCTAAGAGACCAGCACAACAATCCAAACTCATGTCACATGTCCATTTCCTTGTGACACTATAAGAAACTCAAACCTGGGGGCTCTCAACTTCAGGCCACTCCATGTGTCCTCTAAATGAACTCAGACCTCACTACCTCTCTTTTCCTCCTTGTTTAAACTTTCCCTTTGCCTCACTTGGAACTGGCCAGTTCTCCTGCATCATTTACCTCTTCTGAAAATACTCCATTCCCCTCAGCTTCAATGGAATACTGTGTTCTCCTGGCGACCCACCGACCCTGTGGCTTCTCATGCTCTTGGATTAGAGGCCAGAAGTTTGGGACAGAGACTTCATTGCTCTCTACTGTCACTTTTAAACCATTCTCCTCCTTCTTTCCCTTTGGAGGGTGCCACTAGACTTCATCCTGTTGCTGTACTCTGGCAGCCTCCTCATAACTCCACATCATAGAGATTTTGACTCCTGGCTCACCTTCCTCTCCATCATTGTTCATGTCATCATTCTTGGCAAATTTGGTAGCCCATCTGACATTATTATCTCTCAATTCCTCAACCTCCTCACCTGTAACAGTCTCACCTCTACCTCAGCCATGCACACATCCTAGGCGTTACCATTTTCAGGAACTGGCCATCTCTGAAATCTTTCAAGTCTCCCATATTCTGCCCGTATTCCTGGATTGCTAATTCACCAACTTTTCACAGCCTTCAATGAAACTTCCAAAACCTGTTGTCCCACGTTTTATTTTACGTTTGTCTTCTGGGTAGTGTAAACAGTTAATAAGCTCAGCTGCTAACCTAAAGGTTCACCCAGAGGAGCCTCAGAAGAAAGGCCTGGTGATCTACTTCCAAAAAACCAGCCATTGAAAATCCTATGGACAGACACACAGTTCTCTTCTGACACGCATGGGGGTCCCACAAATCCAAGTCAGCTCCATAAAACTATCTTTGCTTGCCTTCAGAATATACCCACACCCATACATACAACTCTGAAGGCTCAGTCAGGAGTCTCCCTCCACCAACAAAAATTCTGCAGGCATCTGGCCTCTTTTCTGTCTTCCCTGCATCAAACAATGGCCTATTAATCTCTGAGTTCCATGTTGTCTTGCCTTAACAAATACCCCACTCCTCCATTCATCTCCCTTCTCCACGCCATCAGCTCCTTTCTATTACTGCATTATTTTCATCAGCATACAACCATGTACTGTGTCTCCTATTTTCTCCCAGCAATTCCCCAATTTCCCTGCTCCTTCAATCAAAGTCTGAAAAAAGTGACCTACACATACTGGTTCTACTTATTGACCTTGTCATCAACAATTAGTACTATTAGATCATTTCACTGTCCAGCTTTGGCATGCTGGACAATTAAATATTCAGCTTTATGTTTGGTAAAGTAGAGGGTCAACAAAACCGAGGGAGACCCTTGATGAGATTAATTGACACAATAGCCACAAAATGGGTTCAAAGATCATGAAGACAGCCCAGAGCCAGTCAATGTTCTGTTCTGTTACACAGAAAGTTATGAGTCAGAGCTGACTTCATGACAACAGACAATAACGTCATTGGACCATTTCCATCTGCATCCGGCCATTCATACTTTAAACGATGCCAGTCTAAATCATTGGTCAAGATCACAATGAAGTTTTAAAAAAAAAACAATAAAATCTCAGTGCCATTGAATTGATTCATAACGACCCTATTGGACACCGTAAAACTGCTCCATTGAATTTCCGAGGTTGTCCATCTTTACGGAAGCAGAGTGCACATCTTTCACAAACAGAGCAGTGAATGAAATCACTAACCTTTCAGTTAGCAGCCCAGTGCTTTAAACACTGCACCACCAGGTCTCCTTTACCAATGATCCCAGGGTTCTTCCTTGACCTTGATCTTTCAGCAGAATTCCATGTGGTTGCCACTCCTTTTCCCAAAGGGCCTCTTCCCCATTGTGTTTTTGTGACTCATCTGCTGTCTACTCTGGCTGCTTTTTTTCCATCTCCTTCACATCTTTCTCTACTTGACCTCTGGGCCTCTCGTCTTCCATTTCCAGGTGATCTCATCCAAGCCCATGACTTTAAATATCACTCATGTGTTGATGGCTCTCAAATTTACCTCTCTGGCTTGACCTCTCCTCTGAGCTGCAGACACATAGATCTAACTTGACATCTTCACTTAGATGACTCAAAGCAAACCTAACATATTCAGAAACAATTTCTCCAGCCCATGGTCACTCCCTCAATCTCTTTTCCATTTCAGTAAATGGTACCACTATCCACTCAGAAGTTCAAATGGAGAAAACCTAAGGACTTTTCTCACTTCTATTTTCCTTTCTGCTGCTTCTACTTACAAAATATATCTAGACTTCATTCATCTCTTTCCATCTTCAATCTCAACTGCAGACCAAGCTGCCATCACCCTTCACTTTTAAGCTGAAACAGTCTCCCATATGATCTCTGTGTTCCCTTTCTGTGGACAGGGGCTGTGTCAGAGATGAGCAAAGGCTTCCCTGCATCATCGCTAATTGGATTTGCAGAAGGAATGCCCATGTTTGCTGTCCTTGCTGTTGCCCTTCCTCAGAAACAGATTTCATTCAGAAAACCAGATCAAATGCTATTAACAAATTAATTTCAATTAGTTCTGCCTAAGCACTCAGGCCTGAGGGCAATCCTGATTAGTCCTAGAGGGAGATGTCACTGGCCTGGCCACTAATAAAATGGAGACCATATTAGAAACTGAAGTGATTATGCCTGTCTCTGTCCCTGGAGAGAAAAGAAGTAGGATTGGATTACACAGTAATCGCCGATGGGAAAGAATTCTCTTTCAGATGATGTTGTTGTGTGCCACTGAGTTGATTCCGACTCATAACAACACAGTGTGACAGAGTAGAACTGCCCCATAGGGCTTCCTAAGCAGTAATCTTTACAGGAGCAAATTTTCAGGTCTTTTCTTCTGTGGAACAGTTGGTGGATTTGAACTGCTAATTGTTGGTTATCAGTTGGGCATATAGCCATTGTGTCACCAGGGCACAAGGTCAGCAAAAAAGATGAAGATCCCCAAAGAGATGGATTGGCAAAGTGGCAGGATCAATGGGCTCAAGCATAATGATTGTGAGAATGTATCGTTCTGTTGTGCATAGGGTCACTATGAGTTGGAACTGACTCGACAGCACCTAATAATAATCTAATCTAATAACTGTGCTGGGCATAGCAAATTCACTAATTAAACTAACAAACAAGGTCCCTGTACTCCTGCATCTTATATAGACTAGGGGGCACACAACAAACAGTAAACAAATAAATGAAAATCAGACTTCAGAGTGAGAAATGACATCAAAACAAGGGCCCTATGACATCATGTGGGTATAAGGGAGGGATATTCAAGGGGCCTGAAGCATTGACCGCTAAACTGAGGTTTGATAATGCAAAAAGCAAACCAAGTCTGGGGAAAGAACCTTCCAGGGAGAGGACCCAGAAAGGACACATGTCTGTTGTCAGAGAGCCAGGCTTCACTCCTTTCTCGTCCTCCTAGGATGTCCAGCACAACCACCTCTGGGTGGCCCCATGAGCAGGCCAGTTGAATTCCTGCTCATCTGGCAGCTTTGCCCAGAGTATCTACCTGCCCGGGTGCTCTCTCTCCCACCAACCCCTCTTACTCACAATTCTCTCAACTGTAATGACCTTTCTGCAATTCTGGATCACTTATTTGGCACATGCTGTCTACATTGCTCTGTATGGGCAGATATCACATTACCAGGGTTCTGAATCTCCTCCCATACCTTTTTTTCCCTGTTCACTCTAGACACTTGGGAAGTCTGAATGGGTTGGCCAGCCCAATGGAAGTCCAAGGGACAAATGGAAATTCATACAAGTTTGGTTTTACCTCCTAGAAGGTACTCTATTCAATTCCTGGAACCAAGGCCAGCTCCAGATTTGAAAAGTCATTCAGAATATTACTGGATTTCTTGCAGAAATGCCTGGAGACTTTCACAAGGGCAGCAGCTAGCCAGAAGGATAAAGATCCACCAAAAAATGAAAGAAGTCCTGGTGTGGTGCTGTAGGGTCAGCACTGGACTACTAACCAGAAGGTAGGTGCTTCAAACCCACCAGCCAGTCCTCGGAAACCCTATACAGGGTTGCTATGAGTCAGAACTGATGGCAGCACTTAACAACAAGAAAGATGAGAAGTCCTAAGACTTTTCACATGATGGCCAATGACCCAAATCCCAGTGACCAGACCTCCAAAATGAGCCCCACTCCCACCCTCCAGGACTGCTTCACTGCGGCCCACGTTCCTCTAGCCCCCACCCAAGATTTTGGAGCAGGTCCACAATTCCAACTCTTATTAGTCTCACCCAGAAAGCTATTAACATGTAGGTGTCACTTGTAGCAGAAACACATGGGCACAAAATGTTCAACATCTAGGCCCCTGGCCTGACAGCAGAACTGGCTGTTTGTCCTGAGTGGTGACCCGTGATGATGAGTCCATGGCCCCAGATCCTGGAGGATGAAGATGAGATGAGCATGGAGAGCCACTGGCACTGCTGCTAACCTTTCACGAGGACCGTCCTGGCCTCAGCCCACTCGCTCCTCCCGTCTGACGTCAGCAGGCCGATCGGAGGCAAGAGCTCGTCCTCGTTGGAAGCCATTTTGACTATCTTTCTCAACTGAGTGAACAGATCCCCCTCACTGAGACGACGGAAATTAATGACAACATCTAAGACAAAGAACTGTGGGGGAAACAGGTCAAACACATCACTTGAGACTGTAAAGTTCTCTATGGGAGATATATACTCAGACCCAGATCCTAAAAGTATTTGATGTTCTGGGTGCTTACAATTTAGGGACCAACCCAAAACTGTTGACTGTGCTAGGCTCCAAGCTGGACTCCAACTCTAAGATTAAACTTGCTAAAAGAAAACTTGTTTTTATTGTTCCTACTTCATGTAAATACATCATGTTTGTGGGGACTTGAGACACTGTTATTGTTGTTAAGTGCCATCAAGTCAGTTCAACTCACAGAGACCCTGTAGAGGGTTTCCAAGGAGTGTCTGGCAAATTTGAATCACTGATTTTGTGGTTCAAACTGGCTTGTGACACTGTTAGAGGAATATAAATTGGGACCACCCTTTTGGAAGGAAGTGTCTATCAAAACTAAAATTTTCATATCCCATGACTCAGCAAGCAATTGTCCTTAAAAAAAGAAATACTTTAAACTAAGGCTTAGGGACATGTCCACTTGTGTCCACCAGAAGACGTATAAAGGGATGTGTGTATCAGCCTTGTTTGAAATAACAAAACAGTAGCAATACCCTAAATGCTCTTCAATTGGAAATAGCTGTGTAAAATTTACTTTGTCCAATGTGTCTGCCCAGTCATTAAAAGGTAGAGCTACATGATTAGTTCAAGCATGCTGGTGAGTGGACAATAAAAGCAAATCAGTGAGTAAGATGCAGAGGAAGATTAAGAATGAAAACCAACACACAAAATACTCCATAAATACATGTGCACATATATATGGGACTTCATGCTATAGCTTTGATGGAAAGGGTCTTATTCCTTGGCACAGGTCAAGATATCCCTTCCTTCTGGCTGAATGAGCCCTCTGCCTATCCCTAAACCATGTACATGTGGCCCTTGAGTACTTCTGGATGAGACTGTAGGTGGAGTCTGGGATGAGCTGGGTTGAACTTTTTTTGTGGCTGGCCAACATGGGTGTGAGGTGGACTGGGAAATCTCGGGTTGGCCTTAAGACCTGGGACAAGGCTATCAGATGGCAGCCATTCATTCAATGAGCTCCTAACTTACTAAAAATGTGAAATAAGCCTGAAAAGAAATCAATTTAGAACAATTACCAGGGGAGCCATCAGAGTGGTTGTCATCAAACACGGTCTTTAGCAAAAACAATAAAACATAAACAGATAAAAAGAATTTCACCTTTTAGCCAATTAAGTACATATGTGGAATTTTTTAGTGTAGACTGTACAGTCTGGTAGACAATGGGAGAGTCTGGAGCCCCGATGCTCAGCCTGTCTCCTCTTTGTTGGCTCCAGGGAACCAGTCTGAAAACGTGAGCTGCAGGGGAACAGAGCCGAGCTGGGCTCGTGGCACTAGCCAGACCTAGGAGTTCTGGCACACTGGACAAGTCACCTAATACCTCTGTGTCTCATGTCCTTCTGTGGAATGCAGATTCTGAGGTCCAGCCTGCAGCACTGTGGTGATCACATGGGATGAATGTGGCAAGTGCTGAGCCCATGCTTGACACATGATTCTTCCAATTGGTCCATTTGTAACTGTCTGCATGTGTGCGGTCTCCAGAAGGGCCATGACTTGGGTGATGGTCTGTGGGTTGTTGTTATGTTTATTGTTAGGTGCCATCGAGTCGGTACTGACTAATAGTGACCCTAAGCACAACCCTATCCACAACATGGGTGGAGGAGTCAAAACCAGGCTGGGTTCTCATTAAGAACCCATGGCTAGGAGGGTTTTCTTGCAACCTAACCTGGCTCTTGGTGGCTCATTTGTAAGTTGAGGTGAACATCCTTCAATTCATGATTCTACTTGTTCTTACAGCCATTGGAGAGAAAGGGGGCTGATATGCTCAGGGACCTGAGTTCTGGATCACTCCAACCCTGCATCGGGAAGCACTGTGAAACAGCAGGATGGGATAAGCATGAGTGGCCACTGCTGGCCCCACAACCCACCTCAACCTGAGGGACAGTGGTAGGCGGCTTTGCTTACCTGGTTTCGGCAGGCCACAATAATATGCTCAGGCTCCGGCATGACACTGCTCTTCTGGGCCACCAGCGTGTCCTGGGTGTGGCCAGGAAGCCGGTAGGAAGAGAAGAGCCTGTAGTATTGCTTCATACAGAGGGGCTGTCCTGACAGCTGGCCCTTGGCACAGTCAGTGGGGATGGAGTGGCTGGAGAGGCAGAAGGGTAAGAGGAGGCAGCCAAGAGAAGATGGAAGAGAAAGGGAATCTGAATGAGGTCTGTTGCAACTTGATCAAGCAAAATAGGGCATAAAAACCATACGTGCATTACCACAGGAGTTGAAGCAATCAATCCTCACTTTCTTACAGTAGAGGAGCATCCTATTTCTATGGACCTTGCAGACCCCAGGGTTTTCTTGTGTAGGCAGGCTCTGCCATTTCAGTCCTACTTAGGCTGGTCCTTGCTGGGCATACCCTCACCTCCACTCCTACACTTAGCTAATCTATTTAGAAAAATCCTTCTCCTACAAGAGCCTACTCCTTCGCCATCTCTTCTAGAAGCCTTCCCTGAGTTCCAAACTGAGAGCTTGCTTCCCCTGAGGTCTCAGTATGTCTCATGTCCACCAATCTTTCCTTCCTTTCTCCCTTCCTCCCTTCTTTCATTTTCTTCCATTCTTCTCCATCTATCCACCACGCTAGTCACTCTGCCAGCCAACAAATATTTACTGAGCACCTCCTCTGTGCCAGGTACCATTCTTGCATCTGGGGATAAGATAGCAAACAAGACAGGTGAATTTCCTGCTCTAATGTGGTGCAAGTTCTGGAATGTGTATGGGTAAGGAGTAGACAACATATAACAAACCAGCAAACAAGAGACTTTCTAGTAGTGACACAGAGTGATGAGGTGGTGACTAGGCAGGGTAGGAGGTGGTTTCAGGGGTGGTACCACTGAAGAAAGGATGTTTGAACCCACCCTAATGGTAGGCGGTGGTCCTGAGAAGAGCTGGGACAGTGGGGTGTCCATAGTCCTGCTACTCAAAGTACTGGTGTTGGACCCAACTATCCATAATGAAGCCAATGGAGGATGAGGGCTGAAATTCAGAGGAAGCACTCAAAAACTTTTGGAGCAATTTGATAGAAGAACTTCATGTCTGTTGAATCTAATAATGAAATAGTTGGTCGTGTGTCTTGTAGCTTTGTATCAATTTTTTTAGTTAATAGTTAGGCAAGTTTTTATGAAGTTGAAAGCACAACAGGCAGATCTTTACCACAGACAATGTGAAAGACACTGATGAAGGCAGAAAGGCAGCCAGTGGGACTGAAACCGTGTAAGGAGGCATCGAGAGGAAGGAAAAGGGCTGGCTCTTGCAGGACCTCAGAGTAGAAGTAAGGAATTTACATTTCATTCTCCACGCAACGAAAGCTTTAGTGTTTGGTGGCATGATTTAACTTAATGACCCTGGTTACACACACAAGAACAAGGGAAGGAGCTTTGACTGAGATGGGAAGGTGATGTGGGGTAGGAGAGGGAGGCTGGGGAACTAGATCTGAAGGGCTGGCCAACAGCCTCTGAGATGCAAGGGGCCTGGGGAAGAAGAATCATGGTGCCATCTAGGTTTCTGGATTTACCACTGGAGTATGTGTTGGTGTATTTATTGAGATGACAAGAAAGGGTGAGGAAGGACATCCAAACATGTATGGTGACAAGCTCAGTTTACAGTGACCAGGATGTCCCAGTGAAGATGTTAGGTGTTTGGGGGAGAGAATGGAGCTATATTTTTTATCTGTTTGGGTGCCTGTCTTGCCCAGTATTTGAGAGCCTTCTGAGAGCATGGATGAGAACTCATTTAATCTCAGCTCCACAGCATCAGTACACTCAGCATCAGTACACTCCAAAGTGGATGAATGAATGAGCGACTAAATCAAGGGGCCCAAAACTATGACTCAAGTAATGGTCCAACCTTGTGACATTTATAATCACTTAACATGGGACCCTCCATTGGGGTATGTGTGGATATATGTCAGTATAAGTGTGAAATGCACACACACATCTACACACAAGCACACTCACATACACCTATACACACCCACATCTGCACACACATACATGCATGCACAAGTGAGTCTGAGATCGAAACTGCCAGAAATGACTAGAACAAAGACTCCAGCCCCAATGGGCAGGGCCTTGGCCCTCCTCCCCACACTGCCCAGCTATGGGATTGTGAGGGCTGAGAATCTTGGAAATCAGAGACTAGGTGCTGTGAGCTAGAGGCTTATTCTCATTGGGAAGTTGAGGGGACTCCAGCTGGGACTGATTAAAATCACCCATGATGAACACAGGAGTCCTGATGTGGTGCTGCAGGGCTAGCATGGGACCCCAAGGTCAGCAGTTCAAACTCACCAACCACTCCTTGGAAACCCTAGATAGGGTCACTATGAGTTGGAACTGACTCCACAACACTTAACAACACCAACAAGGTTAACACACTCAGTATTGTGGGTGTTGGAATTCAAATTCAGGTTTGTCCACTCCTGGGCCTGAACCCTGAGCTTTGACTCTCAGGACCTTCTCCTCCCCTGAACCACCTGTGATTTTGAGCCTCTGCCCTAAGGCTGTGCAAAGGCTGAATTGGACTCAAGTTGAAAAGACAGTGAAGTTTGCCTCTTTCACCCTCCTGGTTTTGCTATCTCCTGGCTGTATGGCATGGGCAAGCCACTTAACCTTTCTAAGCCTTTAAATATAGTGTTTGGAGCGCTCTCTCATTTCAGTGTCTGATATTCTTTTATTTTTTGTCTCTGGAAACAACCCTGACTTCTTCTTCCGGCTTTCTCCCAAACACCCTTAGCCAGAAACTTCCTTCCTAAAATCAGTAATCCTCCACTGAGCTCCAGCAGCTCTGCCCATCAGTCAGAACATCTTCATGTCCACTGAGTTCTCTCTCCCATCCCTTGAGCTGGGTGGGGTGGTGTTGGAACACAGGGTCAAGGTGAGGAAACCATACTTGCCCAAGTAGAAAAGGTGAACTTCTATCTCCTCACTCTAACAACTCTTCCCCTCTACCTGCTTCTCTGAGTCCTGACAGACAAATTCATGTCACATGTTAACCTAGCAGGCCTGAAGGAATTGGGGCATTTTAAAACCATTAAGGAAGGTGTGGCCCGATAGGATAAGTGCTCGACCACAAGGTTGCTTTGAACTGCAAGGTCACAATTTGTCCTCACCGGCGGACACTCCTTGGAAGGGGCCTATGAGTCGAAAGCGACTTGACAAGCGACTTGACTGTGCTTAACAACAAGGGAGGATAATGCTGTTCCTGGTTAGGCCAGCTGGGATAAAATCCAAGATACTGTGGCAAAGTGGTGGGAAAGAGGACAGAGACATCCAGAAGGCAGGGAGCTCTCTGTCTAGTGCCACAGAGAGACAGGGGCATGAAGAGCCCAGTCCTACCTGTCCAGCAGCGCCTTGTAGCTGAGCACACCAGAGATGAGGTTGGCTGCAAACCTGCAGAAAGAGATGAGGCCTCAGTCTTTCTTCTCAGAAGTCCTGGATCCCCTCCCACCCTTCCTTCTTCCTTCTTCTTCCCTCTTCCTCCTTCCTTCCCTTGCTCTCCTTTGTCCATGCTCCCTTCCTTTTGCCTCCCTCCCTCCTTTCCTGCCTCTCTGTCTCCCTCTTCCCCTCTCCCTCCCTTTAAGATGCAGTCATCCCCTCATAGGCCCGATCTGGCTGGTGCACCACTCAGATATGGTTCCTGTCCAGTCCCAAGTGCTGTCAACATAGGTCTTGAAGTAAAAATGGTCCTTTGGCGAGAGCAGGGAGTGGTGCAGTTGTAGGGGAGAGAAAAGGAGAGTAAATCAGATAGAGGAGGGACAGGTGAAGCTTCAGTGAAACAGGAAGGGGCTGGATTATGGGGATGGACTCTTCCTGGAAGCAGTCAGTGCTTGCACTGAATTGGGGTCAGGGGAAAGTTGGGATTCTGGGGAATTCAGCCTCCTGGAGAAGTCAGTAATTTGGTTCCCTTAATGCTAATGAGGAGACTTCATATGATGCTATAAATTAAGCACTGGACTGATAACCACAAGGTTAGTAGTTCATGCCCACAAGTCACTCCTAAGAAACCCTATACAGGGTTGCTATGCATTGGAACTGATGCAACAATACTTAACAACAGCAACAATGCTAATGAGGAGTCGATGGAGGGTGAAAATGGTTCACATGCTCACTTGACAGCTAACCCGAAGTTTAGAGACTCAAATCCCTCCAGAGGTACCTCAGAAGAAAGACAAGGTGATCTACTTCTGAAAAAGCAGTTATTTGAAAACCCTGTGGAGCGCAGTTCTACTCTGACACACATGGGGTTACCTTAGCCGTAATCAACTCTATGGCAACTGATTGGTGCGAATGAAAAGGAGTGCAGGTGCTATGAGTAAAAAGGTACCTGACACAGGGGCCAGAGAACCACCCTACCCTAATTGTCCGTAGATGATGAGTCTGGGCGTAATTGCTTTGGGAGGAATATGCCCCTTGAATGCAATTTTGAGACATGTTTTGAGAATCATTCATCCATTCCCATACTTCAGGAAGGTTTAGGAAGGGGATGGGGAGCTTTAAACCTGGTTAAGCCCTACCTAGAGAATGAGGGATGGGCCCTGGCTAGTCTTGAGGGAGACACCTGTCCCTTCTCAATCTGAACTCTCTCCATCCCCATGAGACCAGGGATGGCTTTGAGAGACCCTGCCCTAACCCCCATCCCTGTGTGTACAGTCCCACCATCATCAGTCATTCTTCCCCGCGGCTCATTGAGCTCTGAAATTGCAGCAGATGGCAGAGCTCTGGTTAGGCAGAGGCTGCCAGGGAGGAACTCATCCTTCCCCCCAGGAGCCTCTCTTTAGAGCTGGGATCTTCGGAGGGCAGCAGAGGTCCTTTCGGATAAATGGAGCAACATTTATCCAAGGCAGGGTCTGAGGGTACACTCCTCTATTTAGACCTCAGCCAGGTCAAGTTTGGCTTGAGGGCACCTGGGAACCCACCTCCATTAGTGTCCCCTTCCACAAATAAACATTATGAGGAAGATCATGTGTTCATTATCAATTGTATGTAGCTTCACCTCACCTCCTCCTCAACCAGTTGGCCTGGAACAGCCACTGTCTCTAGGACATTGACCAGGCCCTCAGCCCACAACCTCCTTCCCCATGGCTACTCCCCAGGTCTACCTGGGCCCGGGAGCACCTGGCTTTACCGTAGCTGATCATTGGTGTCCTGGAAGCACTGCCGTGCAAAGATCAAAGCTGGACTGGAGTTGACTGGTAGGGCCAGGCGGTTGTTGAGATACATGTCATTCAGCCAGTACTCAGACACCTGCCAGGGAGGAAGGTTGAAATGAATCATGATCGGCTTAGCTGCTGTCCCAGTGGCCACAGCCCCTCCCAAATAAGGATGCCAGTTCTCATCCTGTCGGCCCCAAAGGGATAGCTGGGACACTTCATTTGATCATCCAGCTCATTAATTCTTCATTCATCCCACAAACATAGAGTCCCAGTTACATGCTAGGCCGCGTGTGTACCCCAGTTCACCATGCCTATCTTCTTCCTTCTATCATGATTTTTCTATGTGGTTCTTTGGTTCTCCTTTCCTATCCTCCACAATTGTCCTCATATGTATCTTACTCCTGCCTTCATCCCTATCTATAATGCACTGGACTGCAAGGTCAGCAACTCAAACTTATCAGCCGCTCCTCGGTAACCCTATATGGGGTGATTATGAGTCAGAACCAATTCGATGTCACTTAACAACAACAAACCCCTAGCCCTACCTGTTCCTCCACTCCATCCGTGTCCTCCTGTCCACCCTCCATCTCTGTTCTCTCCCTCCCCTCCATCTCTGGTTTCACCTACCCCTCCCCCCAAGTCCTTGTCTTCCTGTCTGTCATCCATCTCTTCCCGTCTGTCATCCATCTCTTCCCATCCCATCTCTAGCTCCACCTCTTTCCCTTTCTGTCCTCATCTTTAGTTCCCAACCCCATATCTGGTCTTTCACCCATGCTTTTTGCTGTCCCTGTCTCTCCATCCATGACCTCTGTTTCCATCTGTGCCCCATTATTGTCCCCCAGCTGCCCCATCCTTGTAATCTACTTGTGCCCCCATCCAAACCGGTTTGTCGGTCTCCCATTTCTGCCTCCTGCCCTTTTTGCATGGGTCCACTGTCTGCCCCTGTTTGCCCACACCCAGGTCACCCACACTGTCCCAGCAGACTAACAACTCCTACCCAGTTAGCTGTCCGCTCCTGCCGCTCCAGAAGCTTCTGCTGTAGGGTCTCGCCAAGGCCCCCAGGGGCCCCAAACTGCTGGACAATGGCCTGGCTCTTCCTGAACTGTTCCTTTGACACCAGGTGTCTCATGCACTGCAGGTAGGTGGCCAGGGTTTGTTGCAGAGGGGGCACAGGCAGTTTGGGCAAGTCCTAGAAGAGAAGGTTGAAGCTTGGGCTTGTCTGTCTGGGTGATCCCTAGCCCTCCCTGAGTTGGTCCCAAAGGTCCATCTCCATCTGCTCTATACTTGTTTTCTACCCTTGGAACTGTGTGTTTCCAAAGCACAGCTTGGAAGAATCATTAACTTTGGAAACTCCTATTTCCCCCTTCCCTAATTCACCACCAGGAGGGGACAAAGCACAAAGGAAAAAACCTTGGTCCTAGCACCAGACAAACCTGGGTTCATATGCTGACCCTGTCGCTGATTACTTGTGTGACCTTGGGCAAGTCACCCCACCTTTCTGTGCTTTGGTATATTTCCCTATAAGCTTACCTTTCACAGAATCAGAAATACTGAATGGGAAGGCGCTTATAAGCCATAAAGGATGGGTGTATGGTGAAGTATTTCTGGTTATTGGTATTGTTGGCTGCCAGTCCCTCGTAATTTAGTGACTCCACCAAGCTAGGGCTCTGGAAGCTAACGAGTCTTTTGAGCCCATTGGATACTACTCTAAAAAGAAGCTTTGAACAGGTGAATGATGTTTTTGAATCAGAGGACCCATATCAAAGTGTGACTATAAAGACCAGAATGCTGACAAATATTTCCTGGGAAGGTGACTCATATTTGGTCCATGCCAGAGTCACCATTTCATTCCATGTGTCCATGGAGAGTTCTTCCTCTCCCTAATCTCTTCAAGCCTTAACTTCCTCATTCATATGACAAAAGTAACAATTCCTACCTGAGAGGAATGCAAGAGAATTACATGAGGTCAACAACTGGCCCCAGATAGACACATTATAAAATGTATTGCTGTTGCTGTCCTTATTCCTCTAGAGGGATCCCTAACAGAAAACCCAGTTAGGGCCTAAGGCCTCCAAAGCATGGTCAGAGTTTGGAGAGAGCTCTCTACCCATGTCCTCTCCATAGGAACACTATACATCCCCATTTGCCAATCATCTGTGTTTTTAACAATCTGGTGACTTAGATTCTTGTCCCATTTACAAATGAGAAAACTGAGGCCCACAGAGTGGAAGGACTGCTCCAAGGTCGCACAGCAGTTTGGTGGCAGGCCTGGGGTCAGAAATCAACTCTTCATCCAACCTGTTTTCTACTGTCTCACACATTCTGCCCTTGCTCCCCTTTCCATTTCCTTCTAGTCGTTCTTCATCACTTAACCCAGTTGTTGTGGAGTCAATTTGGTTCATGGAGACCTTATATGTGTCAGAGTAGACTGTGCTCTAAGGACTTCAATGGCTGATTTTTCAGAAGCAGATTTCCAGGCCTTTCTTTTGAGGAACCTCGGGGTGGACTTGAACCTCTAATATTTCTATTAGCAGTCAAGAAGATTATTGTTTGTACTATGCAGGTACTCTCTCACTTAGACCATCATAATAAAATATCGTACTTTTAATAGTTTTAATTCAGCTTTAAAACATTGGCCTTCCACCTTTCAGTCATTTCTCCCTCTGTGGAGTGGGGTCGGGGTGGCTACAGACGTGCAGGGCCCCTTTGAAGGCATGCTTCTGGTCTGCTCTTGCTGGCTGCACTCTGGATGCCTGACACAGCCCAGAGCTGTGTGTGTGCTGATAGATGAATGGGAATCTCCACCTGTTTGATCCTCTCTAGAGTTCACTGACTATGGGGAGAGAAGAGTGTTGGGACCACTGTGGATGCTCCTGGCCAGGGAATGATACCAGACAGCTCTCTAGGCTGCAAAGCAGTCCCCACCCCCCACCTGCCACCCCACAACACACAATGCTCTGGTTCTCTTCTCCTTCTCATGGGGAGTGGGAAAGGTGAGTGCTGAGTGGGTGGACAAGTGTCTACAGAAAGCCCTATCTAGCTGGTAGCCTGGCACTCCTGCTAGAAGTAGGCTACCTTTCTTCAGGTCTCTGACAGTGAACTGGAACTCAGATTGGAGTAACAGGAAGTCAGATAGTTAGTTAAAAACAACAACAACAACAAAAACACAGAGGTGGGGCATCTCAATTCCATGTCTCAACCCCATGGGATTCCCCCCTAAACTGTCAGTGGTTTCTGGCCCAGCCTGGGACCAGAGATAGGGACTTATACTAATGAATTTTTGAACTCTGGGGTCTCAGTTAAGATGTATTTCTTGTGCAGTTCATGTTAGGAATTATGGAGAGACAAGTCTGCTCTCAAGAAAGCTAGAGGGAGGAGACATGCTCCAGACCAAAAGGAGCAACAGGAATGTTGGTTAGCTGAAGAACCCAAGGGAATTTGAGGATGATCCTTGTGTGTGTGTGAAGCCCAAGAGCTATCATCAGGTTTCAAATGGAGGCAGGGAGAAGGGGTGGGGGTGGTAAGGAGGTGATTGTGGCAGAGAAACCAGCATGTGTGAAGTCCTGGAGCTCAGATGTGCTTCTCTCATGGGGGGCACAATTAACGAGACTTTCTAGACAACCAAATACCTCGTGGGATTACTTTATTGGATTTGACAGACCATAGTCTGCTGGGAAAACTTGGTCAAATGAATAACATAGTTCATAAAGATAATGTTCCACATCCTACTTTGGTGAATAGCATCTGGGATCTTAAATGTTGGTGAGTGCAAGGAAGACATTCAGGCAGCCAACAAACATAGGAATAAATCTTCACGATCATTAGCCATTAGAGAAATGCAAATCAAAACAATGAGATATCATTTCACACCAGCAATAGCAGTGAAGTTCAAAAAAACAGAGGACAATAAATGCTGATGGGAATGTGGAGAGATTAGGACCGCCCTACATTGCTGGTGGGCATGCAAAATGGTCCAACCACTCTGGAAAACAGTATGGCACTTCCTCAGAAAGTTGGAAGTAGAAATACCTTATGATCCAACAATTCCTTTACTTGGTATTTAGCTACAAGAAATATGAGCCATAACACAAGTAGATCTATGCACACCAATGTTCATAGCAGCACTAGTCACAATAGTAAAAAGATGGAGACAGCCTAAGTGCCCATCAATGGAAGAATGGATAAACAAACTGTGGTACATACACACAGTGGAATACTATGCAACCTTGAAGAATAACTATGAAGCTGCAAAACACCTCATCACATGGATGAACTTGAGGACAAAATGCTGATTGAAATTAGTCAGTCACAAAAGGACATATATTGCATAAGACCATTATTGTAAAAGCTTAAGAAAAGATTTCCATACTAAAAGGAAAAAAAAAAAAAAATCTTGGATCGTTACCAGGGGTAGGAAGGAGGGGACAGTAAGGCACAGGTTAAGGGATAAACACATCATAGTTCTGGTGTTGGGGAGGTTAATATACAAGGAAGGGGAAGGCAATACACAAGAAGGGGGAGGAGGGGTGGAAGAACAAGGAAGACAGGGAAACACTTAGGTAGGTTTGCATAGGCTAAACAAGTCAGAGGAAAATAGTATGTATACTCAACATTGGAACAGTAGGGCTCTGTGATACAGGGATTGAGGCATAGTTTGAGTGGGTAAAAGGGGAAATCATGTTCAGGTGCTTGACTGTCTTGTGGACATTGTTTTCCCTTGCCTACTGATATAAAATAGACATTTAAGTGGGATAGAAAGAAATATTGGGAAATATTACAGAAAGCTTGCAAGCCCGTATTCAGTCTATAACTGATTGGAATACCTAAAAGGGGTTCTAGAATTTGCCCAATGAGATAGGTTTCTTGCCAAGCCTTTCTAGAGTATGGGGCCTTAGGTGGAATTCTGAGCCCCATCCAGAACCTTCTGAGGTGGGACATTCCTACTTGAAAGGACATGCAGACTAATGCAGAGCAGCTAAAGGAACAGAAGATACTTCTTGAAAGAAAGACCAGCAGGGGCGAAAAGAAGAAAAAGCAGACTGTTGGGCTATTTCAAGAACAAACAAGCTGTTCACCTGGGAGCCATCAAGATCTTCAGGACAAATCCCCTTCCAAGACTGAAACTCAAAGGGAACACATGAATAGGCTTATAAGCTCGCTAGTGGCCACGTTGGTCTACTTGTGAGTAGAAGTGGGGGAAAGGCAGTAATGAAGACAGGGGCTAAGTGTGATCATGTTCCATAGACATCTGTTGACTTGAGATGACAGAAAGAATAGGAGGGGCTAGTTGGTCCAAAGTTTGGGAAGACTTAGGAATTCCTGAGCCCATGGACACTGACCTAGTCACTGGAGACTAGAGCTGAGAGTGAACCATCCAGCTGATAAAGTGGGGGGAGGTATACAAGAGTGCCAAACAAAAAAGTACCTATTTGACCTAGCTTGGATGGCTTGATGAGCAGAATTCGAGTAGAGGAAGATAAAGAAGTTTGATACAGGAAGCAAATGTATTAAATTGCTACAATTTGATGAACTTGACCTTTGCTTATGGATGTAGTTGCTCAAAATACCAACTAAGAGGGAAGGAGTCTTCATATCAAGGATCAAGCCTATATCCCCTCAGTACACAGGGTTGATAGGGACAGACAACTTAGACATTAGCTACCTAAAATAGGTGTGTGGGGGGGAGTGTCTGGCTTACAAGTTTTCACGATGGAATTTCATTTCAGAGTGAAGGGGGGAAGATAGAATCCCCACTGAATAGTTTTCATCTTGTCTAGATGGGTCTGGTGAAAGGAGATGGGGATAGGATTCTTTTGATTCAATAGTGAATAATTGTTATCATGGCTAATTGCGATTGTCACAACTGTAAAGGTAGAAGATATGTAGCAAAAAGGGGGGAGTAGTTAATCTTACATTCCAGGAACAGAGGACCCTAGGCCCACCAGGAGGAAAGAGCATGAACTGAGCATGGGATCCTAACCACAGAAGCTGCAACACAAGAGACAGAGGCAGAGGTGTTGAAATGGAGACCTAGAGCAGCTGAGGACTCTAGACTCATGGAAAGAGAAAGGTTGTGTGCTGCTAGGCAGGCAGCTGGCTTGCAAAATATGCCCTTTAGTTGTTTAAATGATTATATATTCCTGTGTGTTTTTGTGTTGTTGTTAAGTGACATCAAGTTGGGTCTAACTCTTAGTGATTATAGGGTTTCCAAGGAGCAGCTAATGAACTTGAACTGCCTACCTTGCAGTTCAAACTGACCTTGTAGTCCAGTGCATTAACCCACAGTGCCACACATCAAAAACAAACAAACAAACAAATGGGGTGGGGGTGGAATAAAGGCAAATACTACTAACCAATGGTGCATGGAGAGGATTGTGATCATTGCGATGAAACAAAATACAGTTGGTTGAGTGCAAAACTGATGTTCTCCCAAGAAAACTAATCACTCAATTCACAATAAAAGCTTTAAAGAAAAAAAAAAAGTTGGTGAGTGGTCATCTAAGACACAACTAATGGTCTCTATTCATCTTAAACAAAAATAAAATGAAGGGAACCAAAAACGCAAAGAAAAAACAGGACTAATAACCCACAAGATTTAGATGGTGTCTAGCTACCACTACCAGTCATTCTGACCAGGGACACAATAAAATGTCCGGGATAGAAAAGGAGGTAAATGTAGAACAAAATGAATTTTGAACTTTGTTAGATTTCCTGAACTGATAGAGGCTAAAGGAACACCTGAGACTATCACGCTAAAACGCCCTTTCACTTTGGAACTATAGTCATTCCCAGCGGTCACCTTTCATCCAAATAACAGACTGGCTTATAAGATAAACAGTAGCACTTGTGAGAACTACACTCCCTTACATAATCAACTGTATGAGACCTGGTGTGGCGCTGAAGGGCAAGTACTGGACAACTAACCACAAGGTTGGCAGTTCAAACCCACCAGCCACTCCAGGGTTGTTATCATGACTAATTGAGACTTGATGGCACTTGACACCAACAACATACGAGACCCAATGGTCACTATTTACCCTAAAACAAAGATGAGACAGTAAAGAGGAGCAGAGAAGCTAGATTAATGAGAACAGAATGAAAATAAGAATGTTGACCCATAGTGATAAACGTAACCAATGCCATGGGGCAATCTGTATAGAAATTGCTCAACTGGAACCTAATTTGCTATGTAACTTTTCACTTAAAACACAAGGAAATACTTTTTTAAAGAGAAAGGAAAAAAGATGCTGCTGTGTCTCTAAGGAAGGTAGATGTCGGCTGGCGGTTTCTTCTCCAGCCAATGTGGAAGATGTGCCTAAGGGTCCAGGTGAATCAGTCACATCAGATGGGACTGGTGAGGCAAGGTTTGAGGTTGAAAATTAAGCCTCACTTTATGGCAACCCCACTGGGCTCAAAGTCATCAGAGATGAGCCTTGGGTGGTGGGCAAGGGCTCTTCAAAATCCCCAGCTCTGGGCACGCTGAGGATGGTGAGCAGTCCTGGGAGAAAGGAGAGGTATCTGGCCAGGTCAATGATGCTCTCTGACCTTGGGGATTAGGAAGGAGTCACTGGCCACATTCCCGAGGTACCTGAGGCCACTCCCAGCCTCCTCAGGCCCTCTTAGGATCCTCAGCAACTCCAGCAAGGTTATGGCCTGTGCCTCATGTCTGGGAGAGGGCAGGGCTGGGAGCCAGGGCATGTGAGTGGGGAGAGCAGGGAAGGGAAGGGGAGCTTTGAAAGTTACTCACAGACTCCTCTGTACTGCTGGGAGTTTTTGCCACCGTCTGATGGGGGACTTTCTCCAGGAGGGGCATCTTGGGAACTGCTAGTCTGGGGAAGCAGAGGTGCAAACCTGGGGACAAAAAGGTGGATCATCAACATAAAGGCCACATAGACTTGCCATGTCATCACCAACCTGTGAGCCCCAGAGACGGGCAGGAGTATATGTGTTGCAGGCCTGTCCTGATTCCTGATCTCTGGACCACTCCCACCTGGTCCCCCAAAGAGGAGAGGGTGAGTCTAGCTAGGACTTGCTCCCGTGAGGTCAATGTCACTCAAGTCCACCCCATCCAACCCAGATACCACCTCAGGGGAGTGTTGGAAGGAGCTCTGACTCACTTCCTGGTAGCCACCCCTCTGCTTCCATACCTGCCTGGGAGTTCCAGTGCTTTGCTGATTACAATCTCTCTTTCCCACTAGACTATGAATTTCATGAAGGCCAGGCCAAATCTGACATGTCCAATGCTCATCCATGGGATCTAAGGAGGTGCCCAGCTTGTAGAATGACTAATGTTTGTTAACTTAATAAATAAAGGAATACAAGCACTTATGTGTGTATGCATAAAAACATGAATGAATGTATACCGGTTTCAAGAAGGCCCTGAGGCCCAGGAGGCACTCTGGGCTGATTGGGAGCCTGGTCTGCCACCAGAGCAGAAAGGACCCTGGGATCTGCTAGAGGGGCTGAAGACTTGGGCAGCTTTGGGTCTGCAGGCTCCCAGGGTCAGTGACTGGAATGTGGGGAGCCTGAGGAGTGTGGTGCAAGGAAGGTAGGCAGCTGGAGCCCCTAGAGATCAGTGGGCCAGCCTGGAAAGCTCAAACTACTTTGTTGTTGTTGTTGTTGTAAAAGTGAGCTAGGTCAAGAGAAGTAAAAGACCGTTTTTAAAGCTATTAAAGCTCAAGCCCTGCACTCCTGGATCCCCTTAAACTGAAGTCTGCACAGACCCATGATTTCCACCACCCACTCACCTAGCCCTAGTCTCTTTCACTGCCCACTTTTCTGGGTAACTAGGCCCATTGACAGATAACTAGGCTACTTGGTGGCACTGAGCAGCTGATGTAGTGCAGGGGCCACTCTGAACGGCTAGACGGCTCCGCCAGCACCCCTAGGGGACTGAGGGAAGATGGGCCTGAGCTCAGTGGTATTTTGTCCGGGCAGTGAGGTATGGTCAGGTAGGCAGAAGCCCTAGAGGTCAGCGTCTTCTCATAGTCTGACTCCATTGCTAGAGCCAGACGCGTAACAGTAGTCCCCTCTCAGGGACCCTGCGTCTTGGAGAGAAGTAGAGGAAACGGAATGGCCTCTTAGAAGTATCCCCAGCCTGGTTCTGGCCTGCAGCTCTCCCTCCTCCTTGACTCTGCTGCCCCAGCATCAAGAGGCTATATTCGTGGATGTGTCTGTCTTTCTGGCACCCTCCTGTCCACGCTTCCCCGGCCTGACTTCTGAAGACTGCCAGGAGGCGTCCCAGTTCTATACTGAAGTCCAGCCCCAATCCCCGGCCCCGAGGCTGCGGCTGTCCTTGCGTTCCAGAGACCCTCTGCGACCCCGCTCAAAATTGGCACCTACAAATCTTTGCACCACCACTCCCCGCCCCTGCATAGGCACTTTGGGAGGTGGTGGTGGGAGGTACAGGCGGCATCGCCCCTGCGCCCAGAAATCACAATTGTGTCAGTTAGCACATGGGGTCCAGGTGAGTGAGACCGTGAACCTCGGAGCACTGGTGGTCTAGACTCCCCAGTCCCTTCTCCCTAACTTCTCATCTTCCAGCACTTGCCGCTGCCTACCCCACCCTAGACCCAGAGGCATCAGGGCACCGGGTTGCCAGCAGCGGCGTCCTCGCTGTACCCGACGGCCGCGCCCGTCCGGGACTCAAAGGGCTCCGCGGCCTGGACCTCTCAGCCCTAGTGCGACCCCTGGGCACAGCCTCCTTTCCGGCCTGCTCCAGCCACCCCACTCCCACCTCTTCCCCAGGCGAGGCATTCCCCGCGCCGCTCTTGGCCACCCAGCCTGCCTCACCTGCTCTCCTCCTTTCAAAGGCGGCGACCGCAGCTGAGCAGCTTGAAACGGGCTGGGGGCAGGAGAAATTGAAGCGGAGGTGTGAGCGTCAGCAGTGCAGCGGAGGGGGCTGTCGCCTCTGTCCAGGTCCCCGCAGTCGCCCGACTGGCAGCGAGCTCGCCGGCCGCGCCTCTCAGTCCCTCCCTTTTCTGCTCCTCCCTCCTCTCCTTTTTCTCTTCCTCCCCATCCCTTCCCCCTCCTCTTCCTCTGGGTCCTCTTTTCTCCTCCCCCAGCCTCGCACAATCCACCGCTGGGCCCTCTTGGACAAGCCTGGACGACGTCCGGGACGGGCTTATGCGCTGGGCAACTGAACCCAAGCCCGAGAAAGGGGTGCAGAACGTTGCCCCGTTAGTGCAGGCTGTCCCCAGCCTGCTTACCGCCTATCCCCATTGTCCCTGATTCGAACCCTGGTTAGGTCTGGCCGGGAGACCTATGCCCGCTCAAACCCGGCTACCGTCCCTTTCAAAATAGCAATAATAATATTAATAATAATCATCTGTTAATTGATCGCTACATGATCTCCATCCTCACTTCCAACCCATCACCGCTGGCACTGTGGGGCAGGGGGCAGTACAAACTGAACGATCCTGCCGACAGACCTGTGTATGCTTAGGGAACCGCACCCAGAGGCAGACGCCGCCCCAAGATCTAGAGCCCCACTCACCAACACAGTTCCACTTGTAGACCAATGACTGCCACCGGGTGCAAACCGCCCCCCCGCCCCGCCAGTCAGCGGCCTCTCCACGCCAGAATCCGAGTCCTTTGTTGTCTTCTTCAGGGGCCCTGGTGTTACAGTGGGCTAAGCGTTGGGCTGTTAACCTCAAGGTCTGCGGTTAAAACTCACCCGCAGCTCTGGGAGACAGATGTGGTCATTTACAGCCTTGGAAACTCTATGGGAGAGATCGCTCTAGTTTGTCCTTTTGAGTGGGAATTGACTCAGTGGCAGTGGCCTTCTTTAGGCTGCTGGTTCTGGGACTGCGAGTGACCCCAAATGCGGCCAGGGTCTCCCGGGACTCCAAGCGCGGTTGAGTTTGTATTAGTGACTTTGCTAACAGCATTGGGCAGCAGCTTCCGCTCCGGAGGTGAGAGGAAGACTTGGCACCAGCCCCCAAATTAGCACGCTCTTGGTTCCTACTCAAACCTGCACCTGTCTGCGAGGGACACAGGGCAGTCTACCGCGGAGAACCCAGACTCACCAACAACTAGCCTTCCAATGAACACACACATCACACATGCGCTCATCCTGACTGATGGGGACCGTTTTTCTTCCTCTGCACAGAAAAGCTTAGTCGCTACTCCTTTCTGGGAGACTGGATGAGGAGGAACTCTACGTGCCAGAAGTGAAACCCAGCGTGGTGCGTCCGAGCTCTGGTTGGTGCCAGGCGTGTCCTTCAGGGGCGGGGCCTAGTTCACCCGACCAGATGAATCCTCGGGTTACCCAGTCCTGATGTGGCGCTGTGGGATAAAACACTGGACCACAAGCTCGGTTTGAATCACAAGGTTGGCGGTTCAAACTCACCAGCCACTTCATGGGAACGCTGTACCGGGTCCCTATGAGTAGGAAACTACTCGACGGAACTTAACAACAACAACAACAGACCCCTTTTGTCGTAGCATTGGGCCTGAGAGGGAGGGGCTGTTTGTGGACCTGGAGGCTAACTGGGAGGGAAGGGAGCTAGCTGTGTGAGGACCCGAAAGCTGACTGGGACGGGGGAGAGTGACAGCAGTGTCAGTGGATTGTTTCCATCGTATACATCTTCTTTTCCAGGTAGCATCAGAGTCATAGGCTCCTCACAGGCCCGCAGCATTCATGCTTGAACTGGGTCTTGGAGACCCACATCACCCTCCCTTCTACCCAGGGCCCTGTGACTGGCCGCCCACTTCCACCAGGAAAGAGACTCGTCTCTGATATACATGGTTTATTGATTTGGGCCCAAGGCACCGCGGTGCAGCGGGCTAAGTTGGCACTGGGCTGAATGGAAGGAAAGACAGACGGGCATATGGCTCTACAGGGGAGCCCCGAGTTGGCGGCCCGTACGCCTCTTCACCCCTGCAAGGCGCACGTTTGCTCCGCATGCCTCGATGCTCCAAGCCCTGTTAGATGAGAGGGGAGCACAGAGAGGGGCACGGAGAAGGAACTGGGGCTGAGCTAGCCAAGACAGCGGGTGGGTTGGGGTACTTGCTAGAGAAGGAGTTGGCCAGGGCAGCCTGCATGGGGTTCTTGCTGGAGGTGGAGTTGGCAGGACTGCCACCTTGACTGGGAAAGGAGGGGGTGACCAGGAGAATGAGCGAGCTGCTAGCTGCGGGTGTAGTAGTCGTAGTCGTCCTCACACTCGTCAAAGGCGCCAGGTGGGCTACCCGGCGCGCCCACCGGGCCGCGTACTGGGCACTCACGCAAGCGCACGGCATCGTACAGCCCTTGTGGTGGCTCGTCTAGCAGCACGTCGCGCTCGGAACGGGAGCGCGTTAGGAGGCCCACGTTTCGCAGCAGCAGCAGGACTGGCGCGTAGAGCAAGTTGGCCAGGCCCATGCCAAGACTAAGTTGTGCAAAGCCCAGCGAGTGCACTATGTGCCCGGCCACGATGGGCCCCAGCGCGTAGGCCACAGAATAAGAGATGTCTGCGATGGCGTAAACGCTGCCGTAGACAGAGACGTGGCGCACGTCCACAAGGAAGGCGAGCGTGGGCAAGAGTGCTGTATCGACCAGCGCTATGCCAAAGCAGAGACCACAAAGCGAAATCACCAAAGGCCCGAAGGAGCGGCAGGATGGTACCACGCAAGAGCTGGCGCCGATCACAACCAACCCGAGCGCGCCATACAGCCACTGCAGGTGTGGATAACGCGCTGCCAGGCGCACGGTGAGGTAGACGCCTAGCACATGCGGCACGAAGGCCGGCAGCCAGGCCATGCCCATCTCCCACTCGGATGCTGCCATCGTGTGCTTCATCCATGTGGAGATGGTAGGCTCAAGGAAGGCGAGCGGGATGTTGCAGGTGGTGAGCGCGCCAGCCACCACGGCGATGTAAGGGTCTAGCATGAGGCGGTGGATGGGCGTACCCACAGGCAGATTGGCCCGAGCCCGCGCTACGGCCGAGAAGGGTTTGGCTACGACCAGCAGCAGCAGCGCGTCGAGCAACGACACGGTGGCTAGCACAAGGAAGGGCACGCGCTTGCCGGCGAATTCATAGAGGATGCCTCCAAAGGGTGGCGCTACCAGGCTGCCAAAACTGATGAAGGCCAATGCCACGCCCAGAGCGCGGCTACGCTCGGGCTCCTCGGGATACTTGTCGGCGATCATCGCTATTCCCGACGTATCAGCGAAGGCTGAGCCCAGGCCCTGTAGGCTGCGTGCGGCGAACAGTGTGGCGTAGTCCTCTGCAAAGGCGAACAGCACTGTGGAGGCGAACATGACGCCCAGGCCGATGAGTAGCGGCACGTCGTAGCTCATGCGATCGATGAATGGTCCGCTCAGGGGGTTCACCAGCAGTTGAAGAATGGCCTTGGAGGCGAACAACACCCCGATCTTCACGTCTTCACTCTCTGTGGGGTAGCGGGGCCGCAGGGCCGACCTGGAGGGCCACGCAGCCGTCGGGGGCACTGAAGTGTTGGCCGTGACGGCGCTGGCATTGGCTGGAGTGGGCGGCGGCGGGGTGGGTGTCCACACCTCAGGGACTGCCGTGGGGCTTTCGCTGCCCCCACGCATGTGGGCGATGTAATCGGGCACGATGGGCACGATGACCATGTACAGCATGTTGTCCAGCAATAGCGCCACACACACGATGACCAGCACCAGGCGCCGTTGCCGCCGGGGCTCCTGCAGCGCCGCGCCCACCGCCTCGGACAGCTTTGAGGCCGCCGCCCGGGCCTGGCCCGCCGGCTCCGCTGGTTCCATGGTCCCCACCAAGCACCGGTCTTCTAGGACACCTCCGCCGGGCAGGGTTCGGGCGCCCCACAGTGCACAGACGAGGGTGTGAGACTTCCGCGCGCGGTCCACACCGCGCAGAACCTTCAGTGCCTCAGGTGGTCGAGGGGTTCATGGCCCTTCACCCCCGGGAAATACAAAACCCTGTCCCGCTAGCTGCCGCCGCTGCTCCGAACCGAGCCCAGGACTGGGAGCCGCTAGACTCAGGAGCGGCCGGGGTGGCGGGCGCGCGGAGAGACTGGGGCTGGAGACGGAGCGTGCTGCGCTCGGGGCGCGTCGGGAGCCGCCCCTGCCGCGGTAAGAGGCCGGCTGCGCGGGCCGAGGGGCATACTGCTGCTGGCCGCTAGCTCACTCGCCCCGCCGCGGCGCTCCCCTCCCCTCGCGTCGGCTCTTGCCTCCTCCTCCGCCGCCTCCTCTTTTTTTTTCCCTTCCACTCGGGGCTGTGACGCGGCGAGTCCCGGCCCCGGAGTGGTGCCCAGGCCACTTGCGTCTCTCATGCTAATGCGACGTCGGCGGGGCGGGGGCCGGGGGCGGGGCGCGGCCAGGCGAGGGTCCCTTCCTCAGAAATACCAGGGCTGTAGGCCCCAGGAAGGGGTCTTGGTGCAGAAAGAGTCTTGACCAAACCCCTGGAGATGTGAGCACCGCGGAGGAACGGGCTTTCCGCCGTGTTCCAGGACCCGCGAGGTCAACGCTCATTCTTTACTCCCGGGAAAGGGGTACGCGACGGCCATCCCCCTCCATGACCCCGCGGGAGAGGGGGGCTCGAGATCCACGACTCAGCCTGGATTTCGGCGCACAGGGCAGGGAGCCCCCGAGGTGAGCCGCGGCTGCGTCCATCCGTTCTCGCCAGCCGCCACCAGAGGAGCTCCCTACACGGAACCCCCAACCCTTTTTCTGGCTCCGCCCCTGTACCCTTTCACTACAGTAAAGGGAGAGGGGGCGCAGAGACTAGACTGAAGGGTCGGGTTCCGACAGATGGGCCCTTCGGGAGAAAGTCACACCATCGAATTCCACTGTGAGCGTTTGAGAATAGAGGGGAGAAGTCGCCTTGCTCTCACCCAGGTCCCGGAATAGCAGCCCTGTCCCTCCCATCCTCCGCACTCTACCGTCTCCTTCCCCTACCTGGACTCCCCCTCTCTTCTTCAATTGTTCCGGTCTCCCAGCCCCCCTCCCTTTCTTCTACATAACCTCATTCCCCCACCACCCAAGCTCTGTTCCCAAGAGACCAAGCTCTCCACCCCCGTCCATCCGTTCTTTGGAGGCCTCGCCCCTTTTCTCATCCCTCCCCCCTCCCCCGCCCCCGTCTTGAGAGCTGAGTTGTTAAACCTCCAAAAGCTCACCCAGTGACCTGGGTCTTCTCTAAGAGCTGAAGGAACCCCCGCCCTGCAGGAGTGCCTGTCTACTCCCCTGGAAGGGCGTTGCTTTCATCAGAGGCTCAGGGGAGGCTTACCTTCAATACGGACGGTTCACGTTGAAGCACACAGTCCTAACAGACAGGAGAGAGCCGGCTAAGGCTGTGCGCTGGGATTGATGGTACCCGCAAGAGCGTTGACCCTGGATGACACACAGAGCCTGTGTCCTGATTTGAAGGCAGGCTGGCGGGTAGAGGCTCTAAAGAAACTGAATCGGGTGAGGGTCTTCTGTTGTTGAGAGATTAGTTTGTCTTTTTCTTCCAAAGTCGGAGAGACGCCTCCCCCTAGTTTGGCCTCAAAGGCAAGCTACCATTAGTCCCCACCATGCTCACCACTGTCCGCGAGTGCCATCATGTAGTGCAAAATGCGTAGCTTTAGAAGCAAACGACTAGGATGGTGCCCAGCTCTTCCTCTTGCAAGTTAGAGTATTTGGGAGAATTATGTTGCCTCTCTGTCCTTCGGTTTTCTTATCTATAAAATGGGTTAATAATATTACCTACTGCTTAGGATGACTGGCACATAGGAAAAGCAGTGTAAGTACTTGGTATTGTTACTACTGCCTGTAAAGTGCCCTGTTTGATGCTCATTTCAAAATTGTGGGGTTTGTGAAGAGCAGATGTAAGACACATGACACTCTGTCCCCTAGCTGCTCCCTTTGATTAGACGGGCACTGTAAGTCTGGAACCCAGAGGACATTGGAAAGTTGGCTTCTGTCCCTGAGACAGTTGTGGGATGAGGTGATGAGACCAGTGCGTCAGGGTGAAAAGGCAGCAACCTTTCCCTTATTGCCAAATCTTTCCACCCACCCAGGCACCTAAGGGAAGGGAGAGAAATTCATCCACTTAAGGAACGCTGCAATGGCAATAACACCCTGTCTGTAGTTCTGCATCAGAGGAAGGGAAAACCCCTGTTATGGACTGAATTTTGTTTCTCCAGAATGTGTCAACTTGGCTGGACCGGTGATTCTCAGTATTATGTAATTATCCTCTGTCTTGTGACCTGATTTAATTATCCTATGTGTTATAAATCCTCACCTCTATGATGCTAACGGGGGTCCTGGTATGACACTAGAAGATAAACAATGAACTGCTAACCGCAAGATCAGCAGTTCAAACCCACCAACTCCTCAGAAACCCTATACAAGGTCTCTATGAATTGGAATGACTCAAAGGCACTTGACAACAAAAACTTAATGTTAATTAGGCAGGACTAGAGGCAGTTATGTTAACAAGGTTGTGTATTTTGAGATCTAAAATCAGTGTCTTTTGAGATCTAAAAGAGATTCAATGCAAGATAGCAAACAGAGATGAGGGAAGTGATGCCTAGACACATAAAGATTGCCCAGAAGCAGAAACTCACACAAAGACCTTCCTCTAGATTCAACAGAAAGAGAAAGTTAGCTACAGCTAGCCCTGAAGTCCGACTTCTAACCTCCTACACAGTGTCCTGGTGTAGTGCTGTGCGTTAATGCGCTGGACTGCAAAGTTGCTTTGAACCGCAAGGTTGGTGGTTCAAATTCACCAGCTGCTCCTCAGAAACCCTATACAGGTCAGAACTGACTCGACGGCACTCAACAACAACAGCCTTCTAAACAGGGAGAAAATTTCTGTTTGCTAAAGCCATGTGTTTATGGTATGTCTGTTGTAGCCGCACTAGATAACTAAGAGAGAATTTGATACCAAGAGAGTAGGATGTTGCTCTAACAGATATCTAAAACATGGAGGTGGTTTGAGACTTGGGTAATGAGTAGAGTTTGGAAGAGTTTTAAGATGCCTAGTAGTAAAAGACTAGATTGTCTCAAAAAGGCTGTTGGAATTATCGAGGCTAAAGATAATTCTAGTAAAAGCTCAGAAGGAATTGAGGAGAGTTGTAACACAGAAGATGGTGCAGACAGAAAGAAGCAGCAATAAAGAAACAGTGGCAGTAGACTCAGGAAACTGACACAAGACAGTTCAGGAGCTGACCCACCAAGCAAGGATCTGAAGTGCCTTCAGGCAGGAGGCTTCCGTGGAGTGCCTCTAGGCACTCGGTGGAGGTAGGCTTGCTGTCCCATAGAGAGAGGCTTACTGCCAAAGTGGTTTGCCTTCAGGTACTTATCAGTGGAGCTAAAGAGCTTTGCAACCTAGTAGGGCAGAGGTCAGGATGGCCCAAGAGGTCCAAAAATCTGAGGGGTCAAGGAACCAGAAAGCAGACTGAAGACACAACGAGCCTGGAAAGCATACATAAGTGCCTTGGTCTCAAAGGGTAAGGCCACAGCCTCTGGGGTCTCCAAGGATACCATGGATTGAATTGGCTGGGCCGTGATTCTCAGTGTTTTGGCAGGCTCCATAATGTGATCGGATGTGATCAGTTAATCAGTTGTAAGGGGATGCAACAACTCTGACCCAATTGATGTAAGGAGTTACCCTATGGTGTGACCTGCATCACTTTTTATCTTACGAGACGTGAAAGGAGAGAGAAGTAAGCCAAGAGAGACTGTCTACCACCAAGAAAGTTGAGCAGGGAGTGGAGTGTGCCCTTTGAACTCAGGTTCTGTGCTGTGAACCTCCTAGACCTAGGGAAAGACTTATGCCAAGACATATGGAGATCTCCAAGGGACACCAAGCCAACAGATGTTGAAAGAGACAAGGGCCACCTCCCAGAGCCAACAGTAAGAGAAAACTTTCCCCTGGAGCTGGTGCCCTGACTTCATACATCTGGCTTCCTAAGCTATGAGAGAACAAATGTATGTTTGTTAAAGCCATCCACTTGTGATATTTCTGATATAGCAGCACTAGATAACTAAGACAACCCCCATGGATGACCTTGAGTAAGTCACAGTCCTCTCTGGACCCCAGTCTTGGCCTCTACCACATAAGGAATTAGGCAAGAAGCACCTTTCTGCAGCCCTCTGCACCTACAGAGCTGCAGAAGGGCTCTGTTTGAATGGGAGAAACACCTTAAATTTTATTTAAGACTTTTAATCAGTATACACACTCACTGAAGCCCCTCACCCTCCACCCAGCTAGTTTCTCAATGTTCTTCCTGGCCAATTGAGGGGTTACTCTACCTCTCTCATCATGAGACTTTTTAAAGGATAGGTTTCTAGCCTACAGAGCAATGATTATTTTTTATTGATGTAGCAATTTTGATTATTTATTGCCTTATTAAAGAAGGGAGAGAAGGATTTGGGGTTGATGTTTTCTATATAGTGACTGGAGAACAGTGAAATCTTAGTGAAGAGTAATTTTTCCCGGAGCCTGTAAGGTGGCAGGCCCCATTCTCCCAGCCCTTTGGCCCACATAATTTATGGTTGTTCCTGAGAATTAAGCCAAGTCATCTCTGGGCTTACGCCTACCTGCTCACTCCTCAAATCCCTGCGGTGGAGGCAGACTCATTTATTAAGCACTGACTCTGTAACAGGGGTATTGTAAAAAGGGCTTCAAAAAGTTCGTGGAATTAGAAGATAATGGAATTATTCCACAAAGTTTTTGAAGCCCCTTTGTATTTGCTGTTTTAGTGAATCCTCATCCTATTTTGCAATGTAGGTAACATTTTCCCCATGTTATATATGGGGCC